ACCGCAATTCATGTATGTCGTGCCTCCATTAAAATGATTAACCTCACAATCTACCCCCCGATCAACTGGTGATTTATGGTACTATGTTATCTGTGACGTGGTGCGGAAACAAAACGGATATTGTACAATTAGTAATTACACTATTATAAAGTTTATTCACGAGTTTCCCCCTAATAAAAATAATATCTTGGGTCACACAAAAGTGTTTAAAATCAGATCAGTGCAAAGTAATTTTTTTATACTTCTCTATATAAAATATAACTGAGAGAAAAAAGCAGTCCTTGCTGAGTTTCTTGCCTGCTTTTCTCAATACAAATTCTTCAACCATAGATTTACAAATGATGGCATTGCTTTCGATTTTCACTAGATATTGTAACAGCCTAGATTAATTATATTATACTGAATTTGAGATACAAAAATAATTAATGTAAAATATTGAATGTATTATTTTTTAATATTATACCTAGTGTATTTCCGGTGAAGTAAACTTTTAGTTAAAGCCCTTTGTTTTTTAGAGAAATCTCATAAAATGGAGGTATTAAAACACAAGATCCGTAACAATGTAGATGGTACATGCTCTATAGGTATATCTGTCAGAAGATCCGTCAAGCGTCTTACAGAAGTACGCGACGGATTATCAGTTGAGTGTGCAAGGTTGAATGTCATATCATTAATTTATTTGTAGCAGGAGAGCCCAGGGGATTTCGGGATCGACTGAAGTTCGGCAGATTAATATACAGTGGGACACCATGTTAAGAACTCCAACCAAATATGAGTTATACATATATATGTATGGTCGTATGGCTAGGATAAAGGATCAGCCCTGCGATTCTGTAACAATCCAGTCCCGAATTCGAATTCACTCATGTGTCCGAATTCTCGTCATTTAGTATAGAAATCATATTGATTTCATTTTTTGTATAAAAATACTAAACAAAATTGACTGATTAAACGTGTCATAGATATTTTAATCCTATATCATTTCGACACTCACTTCACTTATTTCACGAAACATTATTACCAATTCAAGTTTGAGCGGGTGCCGCTTTTTGAAGTGAATTCGGACACCCGAGTGGATTCGAAATCGGGTTTGAAGTTTAAAAAAAAAGATCATAAGAAATTCTCCTCGTCAGATTAAGGTAGAGTGAGTTTGTTACATGCTAAAACATGTATATTTCAATAATCTGACAATTTGAGAGTGATGTAAAGAAGCGGAAAAGCTTCAAAGTTGTAAAACAAGACGTCATCTCGACATTCTCGAGCGTGACTAATTTATTGCTTTATTTTGAAGGGAACAATTCAATAATTACGAAATTTATATAATCTGACTATATCTACTATACTGACTATATCAAGCCAAAGTAACAAAAATTAGGCGATAATGTTTAATGCGTGCAGTTACGTGAGCCTACATTCCCCTCTCCGCATTTCTATTCCCCTCTGACTCTTTTTCTATCTATTACTCTCCCACTCGGTCTCCACTCTGGTTTCGCAAAAGTATAATAAATACTCAAAAAAATATTTTCATTTATAATTATTTTATAAGATACAAATTTTATGCAAAATTATAATAGGTTGGGGAAAAAGTTTCTTCGCATCTTATATGAAAATTCTATTTTTTTTAATAAAGTTTATTTACATTTAACTAAAGTAAGTAGGTACCATTTAGTTCAATAACTTTTTGCCATTTTGTAGTTAGGGACATGATCCCATTGCTATAGATATTTTGGGGCTTCTGATTAAAAAACCACGACAAGTGGTTTTGGCAGTCCTCGTGTGATGTTAACCTGACACTGCTTAAAGTATGAAGAGACCGACATAGGTGGAAATCTGAAGGTACAAAGGCAGGACTATACGGCGGATGCATTAACATCTCCCATCCAAACTCTCTTAATTTTTGCGGAATGGCAAAAGATGTGTGAGGTCTAGCGTTATTACGGTGGTTTTTCATCATAATAACTTACCCCTTCTATTGATTAATATTGGCCGCTTTCTCTTATCGTTTTGCTTTAATCATCAGTTATTCGCAGTGAGGTTCAGAATCGATGGTCCTGGCGTTAACAGCTCATAATGAATAATGCCCTTCCAATCCCACCAAACACACAGCATCGACCAAGCGAGTTTACCCGGTTTTCGCCACAGTCTGTGACGCTTGACTGACCTTTGACCATGACCTTTTTCGCACTTATCGTATGTGATCTGGTTATCAACTTCTTCAAAAATCTTTTGGTTCATTACGCCGTAATAAAGAATCACGAATGAGTACACGATTCTTTTGAGTCCTTTATATTGTAGTAGTCCAATCTCAGAGTGCCAGGGGCATAGTGGATTTTTAAGCATCATTCATTAAAAATATTTTTCAGTATAGCATTGTGAATGTAAAATTGACCAAATATAATAAAAAACCTACTTTTTTATTCGCATGCTTATTTATATTTAAAAAAAAAATTGGCACATTAGGTGAACCTTCTCAGATAATCGTCAGACAGACAGCACGTTAAGGGCATAAAGATATCTTAATTTGACTTGCTTAAGTATTTCAAAATAACGAGATTTTTTGCACTTTATAATAATGACCACGAGACTGCGTCACATCCAAATCGTTAGATTATTATGTAAGAGTTTTTTTAGGTTCACTCAACGTCCCCTTGGAAAATCTCACGCGCTCGACAATTTTTTTTCTACATTTACAACCCTTACATACTACTACCCCTGCTAGGTTTTTTTTAGGAGCTGGCCGCCTATTATCAGTACATTATTGTATTTATATTAGTGTTCTATTATTTTTGATTTGTGACTTTTAGAATAAAACTGGCAAAGGTATTAAAGGTAATTGCAAGAAAACAAACAAACATATCTAAGAACGCACGATACTTTGAAGGTTACCTTTAAAAATGCCGAGTGGAGAATGTTCGACTATGAGATCATTGTACAGGCGACACATACTCGTATTTGGACTATAAAAATAAGTGTTATTTTTGTAGATTTATAAATAAAAAAATAATTTATTGTAATTACGCTATCTGTATTTTATATTAAAGTAAAGAGCTGCTGAAGTCAGCACTAACAAAGCGGCCTATAAATAAATTGACAAATAAAAAGTGAATTTAATTAAACAGATAATTACACAATGCGTCTCAACCAATCAGATACGTAGGTTATGCCCTCGTTGATTTGGATCGCTTTGTTACAGTTTCAACAAGCTACTTCTTCAGAAGGAGGAGCTGGAGCAGAAGCAGTTGCATCTGCTCCAGGTGGTGGAGAGCGAGCGCACCTCACGGTGGCAGTACGCGCAGCAGTGCGACGAACTCTCCAACGAGGTCAAGAAGCTCAGGACGGAGGTACTTTGACGAACTCCTCATGACCTTCCAATGGAATTCATACAATATTGCTCTTCTGTTTATTCTTTTATCAAAAAACCGCGTAACTTTCTATTTAAATTTTTAAGAAATATAACATTCTATCCAGCTTTCAGGACATTTCATATTAAGATTATTGTAAAAGTACTCTATAAATGCTAGAGAGTGAATTATATATTTGTCAATTATACCTATTAAAAAAAGGAAAATTATTAGACGAGATGGAAAAAATTTAAAGTTTCTGTAAAAAAAGGTGAATTTTAGGGAAGATAAATTTTTAAAAACACTTTTTTTTACTGTGAACTGTTAGAAATATGATGTACTTTTTGATTTTTTGTTACAAAACCAGTTGAACGTTCTCTATCTATTTGGTGTACACGCCCTTCTAAGGAAATTTTTCCTAAAGTAGGCACTTATTACTGACAGATTTTTTCAATATTTAACTAGCAACAGAAATATTCACGCTAGCAGGCGGGCCCGGAAAATCCAGCTGTGCTTCTCAAGTATTTTTAAAAATGTATAATAATAAAATTGTTAGTTTGACACATCCCATTACATTGCCAGAAAGAAATTGCTTCTTAGCGATAAAGTCGCACGATCTGTTTTTATTTTGTGTCACTCATATTCTATTATTGATGTCATATTTGTACAGTCCACATCAAGTCACGCTGTACAAAACTGTCATATTTCTCCACTTGTTTGTAAACCTTAATGCTTTGTAGGTTCAAAATTATTGGAGGAACTTCTTCATATTATGGTAGTCTATGCAAACGTATGTACAGTAAAGAATATTTCATTAATTTATATATCTCGTGTCTTAAATAAGACCCACAGCATAGACTATAAAATAATATTGAATTTATCCAAACTAAAGCTTATTGTTATATTTATGAATAGCTTTAGAGCACGAAAATAAATAAAAGTGTCTTATCCAGTTGTGCACGTACAAGAAAGAGCACGAGCCGAGCACTCGAGCGGCGTCCACTACCAGCCTGTCACCCACTGAGTCCCCAGACATCGACCCGGCTGAACTTAGGAAAATTAAAAAAGTGCAGGTAAGATTAAAATAAATTATAGCGCAGTGACTATCGCGTTCGGTGATATGGAAGTTAAGCAACTTTCGCAAAGCCCGGTCATAGGATGGGTCATCAAAAATTTACTCTCGAGCTCCTCAGCCGCACACGTATACACACACCCACTCACACACCTATCGCGGGAGATCTTGTACCGAGAAGAACCAGCAAACTAGGTCTCTCTTACTCTCTATTCCATTTGATTCGATTCCATTTGGTCTGTGCTCCAGCAGTGTGTTATTAAAGATCTGTAGACCTAACCTAACTTACGATAGCATAGTCATATAAGGATAAATTAAACAGAGTTTTAAGCAATTTTTAGTACTGCAGAAGCTTGTCGAATACTTTCTTTTGATTATATTTTAGAGTTTCTTTCGCGGATGGTTATGTCGACGCCGATGGAAGCAGATCGTGGAGCAATACATCAAGAGTCCACATGCAGAGAGCATGAGAAAACGGAACAGGTATATTCACATGGACACACGCAATTTAAGATATGTGTTCAAAGACAAAAATTAAACCCAATTACCTAATAATAATAATTCTTATCCACAGCCTGGTATTCAAAATGGTCGAAGCAGAAGAGGAGTATCTTGAACAGATGGAAATATTGGTGAGTATTGATGTGCTTATATTTTTATTACATAAATGCGCAAGTATGATCATTATTACTCGTACAGTCTGGGTGTGAGTACGCATCAAAATTAATATATCTTTATATTCTAATTTACGGGATTAAAAATATGTAAACTAGAGTAGGTAAGACAACAATACATGTAGTTCTGGATGCATTGAATAAATTATATCTACCAAGAATGCTAAGGTCAGATCATTGTTTGCTGAATTTATCATACATACCTGCGGGGTCAGTAGAGGGGTTTGTGAGTCAGTATTTTCGGCCTCGATAGTTGAGCGCACTGTTTACACGTAGTCAGTTATGTAAGAGTGAGTAGAGGCAACTTCTTATAGTAGGTAGCACTGTACTGACCTCTGACATTAAGTCAGTAGCGGGGTCAGCACTGAGTTATTTCAACTGCGGACTCAATTTCTGAAATAAAAACTATCTTTCATTGTTTTTGTTGAGTCGTTCATAGAAAATTTAAACACTGTAATATGGTAATCTTTTACAATTTACACTAAAATAGAAGCTGGCGTATATGTTAATGCTTGGAAAAAAAGGTCAGATTTACGTGTAAAATGTTATGTTTCTTTTTGTCAGGTAACATGTTTCTTAAGACCGTTCAAGATGGCTGCTAGTTCGAAGAAGCCTCCCTGCACCCATGAGGACGTCAACTCTATTTTCTTGAACAGCGAGACAGTGCTATTCCTTCATCAGATTTTTTTTAAGGGGCTCACTTCTAGGATGGAGTCTTGGCCCACTCTCGTATTAGGTGAATCTTTAATAGTAAATACTAATACCATTTAGAAAAGTTCATATTTAACTTTTTTATGATACGTTATAATCATTACAAAGATTTCATCGAAAAGAAAGTATTTTTTTTCTACTTCTAGTACTTGAGTTCTGAGAATCGACCATTGTGTAGTCACGTGGGTCTAAGACAGTACCATAGAACTCAGATTAAATTTGAATATCTTAATAAATAGATTTATATCTAAGGTATTAATTATATCGAAATTAAACTTTGCTGCTCGCAACAGAAGATTATGAAATCAGCCTTTTGGAAGTAGTCAAATAGAAAGTGATAAATTCAACAAATACTTAGTAGTGGACTGCATATAGGAGACCTATTCGACATGCTGCTGCCGATGCTGACTATTTACCAGGAGTACGTGAGGAATCACCACTACTCGCTGCAAGTGTTGACAGAGTGTAAGCAGACACAGCCGTTTGCCCAGCTGCTGGCACGCCTGGAGAGCAAACCCGCGTGTCAGAGCCGCTCGCTTGAGACTTTCCTCACCTATCCTATGCATCAGGTATTAGTTTTAATAGTGTGTGACATCTATCTCACATTTTTTAGAAAACCAGGTATAATGGAACTGCAATAAAAATCACAAACATTATAAAAGCTGTCTCATGGGAATAAAATGTCTCAAATCTTTATACCAGAAATTTTTCACGAAATTTTATGATAGAAAGAAATCATTAAGTTATAATTCCAATTGTGAAAATGTTTATTAAAGATCATACATTTGTTTAACATGTTTTTGTTAGGTTTAGGCCAAAGATGATATATTGTCTCGAAGCTTAGAAAAAATTCCCAATTTTGCGGACCATTATAATATCACCCAGAGATAATATCAAAACAATCAGGATCATAAACAAACAACGAAGCAGGAAACAGAACAAAGCTAATATCTATTTTGTTATAAATAAATAATTGTGACTCAACGTTTATCAGTGATGCAGTAGCCAATAGCATTTTTGAGCATATCGTAGGATATACATGTAGAGATTTATTTAAATATTACCGAATATCAACTTACGAAGGTTTTACGCCCTAATGATTTTAATTTGTTCCCAGATTCCCCGTTACATAATAACATTACACGAGCTACTCGCTCACACACCGCACGACCATGTAGAGCGACGCAGCCTGCAGCATGCACGAGCGCAGTTAGAGGAGCTTTCTCGGCAAATGCACGATGAGGTATACACAGTACACAATAATTATCAAATTTACCTTCTAAATGTTCTAATCTAACAACACATCAATTAATCTGACAATTAAGCTATGTAATTTATACGATTATCAAACAATACATATGAAGATACGTCATTTTTGTTCAAATCTGATGACCAGTTTGTTTGTGTGTACATGAAGTTAATAACTATGAAATTTTCATAGGTCAGCGAGACTGAGAATCTTAGGAAGAACTTAGCAGTAGAACGTATGATTATCGAGGGCTGCGATATTTTGCTTGACGTTAATCAAGTCTTCATTAGACAAGGTGAGGATATGATTTCGGCAATACTTTGCCATAATTGGCTTAGGTAATAATAAAATATTTTCAAACCTTTAGTGAAAATATTTTATTCTTAGAGTATTTTAACGAATTTCTTCCACTTATTCATAATGTGTAGGTATGCTATAGGCACTATAGTGTTTCTATTTACTGCACTCAGTAGAATTACATTGAGAACGATTCATAAACTAGCCGTATCAAGAATCGACGACGACCAGAGTTGACGCTAAATTCACTTCAGGATATTCTTGATAAGTTAATTCATTGAAAGCACTTTTGGATTGTCCAATATTTTTATTTGCTATATATATGCTCTTCGGTTCAGGCACGCTATCTCAGGTTGTGGGGAAAGGTCGTCGTGCTTCACTGCAGGCGCGGCAGGCATTCCTGTTCAGTAATCACCTGCTGCTGACGACGCGCGCTGCCGGAGGGCGATTGCATCTGCCGCCCGCAGGTCGACTGCCGCTGCACGACGCGTTGCTGCTGGAAGATCCTTCCAACCACGACGACGATGGTATTGACGAGATTAATAATAGTTGTGGGGGCTATGCGAAAATATTTTTTACTTACATTTTACGCAATGGTAGCATTTTAAGCTTTATGCTCGACGTAACAATATGAAATACGAAAAATCGGTTTTGTTAGAAAATTTCTAGTTATTTTGCATCAGAATGTTTCACGTTTTCAGAGGCTCTATAAAGAGATTTTATTCATCAAAAATATTTTGCTTAGATTCTACGTCTGTTTGCTCGTCCCCTGGAGGGGATGCATATCAAGGAAAAGACTTCAAAATCCTCGTCGAAGTAAAAGGGGAGCAAATATGTGCCCATCTAGGTAAGTACTACAGTGACTTATGTTTTCAAAAATCTTTGATACGTTATTCAGCTTCCATACATATATATATTTTATATTTGACTATCTGTGATTTTGGTAAGTAAATCCAGAAATACTTTAATCTTATATGATGTTGTATAATACTTGTTTATTATTTTAATAAGTCCTAGAAACTATAAGGTTGTGCCTCTTGATTTTTGTGAATTAGGCGTCAATGGGTGCTCGAATAAGTATATTAAGAATAATATTTTCTGGTGGACTTTAAAGAAGAGAATATGTAATAGTGGCAGCAACGTTGGAGGAGAAAGCGGCATGGACGAGCGAGCTGGCGCAGTGCATGGAGTCGGCGGCGCTGACGGAGCTGCTGCGCGCGTGCGGCGCGTGCGGCGCGGCGTCCGCCAGCCTGCCCGCGTGCCGCTCCGACCGCGCGCTCTTCACCGACGATGTGGACATACGCTTTAGTCGGACGCTCAACTCCTGCAAGGTGCCGCAGATACGCTCCGCCACGCCCCAGCGGCTGCTGCAGCGTCTCACCGGTGAGTCTTTTCTAGATTAACATGTTATCCTCACCAGTCTATTCGCGGGATGTGGGGAAACTGGCTGGGATAGAGGCCTTCTCGGTGGAAAGAAGCAGGGAGAAATAACAGGTCGTAAATCATCACGTGAGTCCGCGTTGGTTTGCGAATGCAGGTGAGACTGGGACCGATGACTTGTGGATTGTGAAAGAGCTCTAGATGATAAATTTTGGCCCCCCCACCTAGTTATATGTCTTTGAGAAAATTTCTTAATCAAATCTCAGCCACTTATCACTGCCCGTCGCGCTCCTCTTAACTAAATCGAAATTGTTACAAACTTACGAGTCGCACGAGAATTTGCATTATGTTGTAAAACCGTCACGCTAATATAAGCTTTCATTGTACGCTTTTCGTTATAAAAAATATCATAAATTTCGGATATAATGGATTTTCATAGCACGGGGAAGGGGACTTCGAGTACGTCGAGATATTAAATAGCATCATATATCGGATATACTTCGAAAGTATAGACTATCTGCAGATGATTCGATGTCATCATATAAAGAGCCTTACATAAAGTTACAAATGTAGGTAATCATAGAAAGGACAGCAAAACTTCGATATTGGTATTACTTAACTGAAGCGCACTATTTCGGCAACAGTAGGTATGTATAAAGTAACGATCAAATACCAATATCGGTGGATGACAGATCTCCGGTTCCTGTCGGTGGACTTCCTGAACACGTTCCTGTTGACGTACCGCGTGTTCACGGACGGCGTGACCGTGCTCGAGGCGCTGAAGCAGGTGTTCTACGAGCAGTCGCAGCAGGAGCTGGAGCTGGCGCCGCCACCCGACGCCACCAGGAAGACCAGCGGTGCCAGTTCGGTTTCTGGTAAATCCTTTACAAATACATAAGTGATTTCATTTTTCAAAATCTATTGCATCAGTTTACTTGTTAAAATAGACAATATCGATTTGATATCAAACTTTAATTCTTATTAGCCTGACAGGATTTTCTCATGGTATGGCGACAGTGTATTAATTACAAAAATATACTTGAATGTATGTATCTCTTTCACTCATACCCTTATGCCCTCAAGCCACAAAGATTGAGCAAAGATAAAACAAGATACAATGACAAAGGAATTACATTATATGAATTCTATTTTTTTCTTGATTTTTCAGGGTATGGATCAGAATATAGCGACAGAGATTGGCAGGCTCGATTTTGGAGGACTTCTAGAAAAAGTAAAACTACGTTTCAATATTAAAACAATACTAACTGGTATAATTTTGTGTTTTCTAGTTTTGGAATATTCCTAGGCTATGTGAAATAAATCTGTATATACGTGGTATTCGACGCGTATATGGATCCTCAACATGAGAAATGAAACGTAAATTCATTTACTCTCTATTGATTACCAAATTACCAAAAAATATAAAGCAAAATTATAATGCTTCAAAAAAACAACTCGGATCGGTTTCGCATATTTAATAAACTTTTACTAAATTTCCATAACTAACACAGAAAATCACATCAAAATCCGTATCGTATCCATTGTCAAACCTTAAGCGACTTGATGGAGTGATAGATTGCAATGCATAAATTTATTCTAGGTGAAGAAGATGACAAACTTTCTCCGTATCTCATGGCGCCATCTCGAAGGACGTCTTCTGTTAGCAAGGTAAAAATATATAATGAATCAATTCCTTTGAGACTGGACTCATAGTCGTATACTAAACTTTGATATTAATTCAAATATGCTAACGAAAGCCGGAAGAAGATAACAGTCATCTGACGATACCCAAAATAATGGCGACATCGTCGAGTAACGAGACATTGAAAGGTAAAGATGAATTTGTATTTTATTGTTTTATTGATTGGGAAGGTATGTGTATGTGTGAAGGTAAGTGTGTGTGAATTTATAAGCTTTTTGCCAGCGGCTTTGCCTGAGTGGCACCTAGGGAACTATTTAGTGGGATAAAAATAATCATATTATCAAACCCTAACTGCTTACCAAATTTCATCAAAATCTTCATCATCAAAAGTTCAGTAGTTTCAGCTTGATTTATGAACAAACATCCTAACATCGAAACAAATAAACTTTCACATTTATAATATTAATAGGATACATTCTACAGTATGAAATCTATTTAAGGAAAAGGTACGATAAAAAAACACTATTTTATATTTTTTGTATATTGTAAATCGGTAAAACAGTTTATCCTACAATCAGGTACATCTCCATCGTCACCTGGGGCTATTAGTTCGGTGACCCTAGTGGGAAGTCCGAGGAAGGCTAGTCCCGAACATGCTGCATTAAAAGGCGGGACCAAGTCTCCGACCAAAGACAACGACGCAGCCGCGGCCATCATGAAGGACGAGAGCATCGAGCTGGTGGACCAGAGCGACGAAGACATCAAGTACAAAGAGGAGGAACAGGAAAAGAACAAATACAAGATCGATGATAAGTTCAAGATATCGCAAAGGTTTTCAGAAGTATGTGTTTCCTGAATATATTTTTAACAGGGTTTCATAAGTTTTTTATAAGGTATAACGAGATGCAACTTTATCACACTATGAACATGACACGGTAGCAATTCTGTTGCACGATCTCTAAGTTTGTCGATCGTTTAATCTATTAAAGGTACTCGTAGTTATAATTATGACAAATTGCGTTTTCAATTCTTTCAAACTAAGATAACCCGGGCGTTGTCCCCGGACTAGCTTCTTCCAAGAACCGATGACTCTTATTATAGATGATATTACGTCGAGGCATTTTTTATTTTGATCATCGGCATCACCATAGATGACATACTTTGGATGCAATGTTTCCAAATTTTTCATCTCGGTATTTGATGCAACAATATCGTTATGAAGTGGACGCGCCCACTTTATAGGGATATCTATGATTCTGTTCGTGCAGCGTGTGCGCACGATGTCGGAGAGTCCGCGGCGGCTAGCGCCGTCGTCGGCGGCGGGGGCGGGGATGGGGGCGGTGGCGGGTATGGGGGCGGGGATGGGGGTGGGGATGGGGGCGGGGATGGGGGTGGGGATGGGGGCGGTGGCGGAGGCGCGGCGGCGGTCGGACAGCGCCCGGATCGCCGCCGCCGCCGCCGCACCGGCCGAGCCGCGCCGCGCGTCTGACTCCAATGCTGCGCGGTATGCACGTAGAAGATCCGCGAGGTCAGTCTCACCGGCTGCACTCCCCCACGTGGGAAGCCCTCGCTTCCGATGGCCGTCAGCTCTGTTCCCTACACCGAAAGCCTGTGCAATTTTTTCATAAATCGATTTTCCTGTACATTTTGTTTCCTAGCACAGTCTCTAGTTCGATATTTGGTTTTGAGAGTGCTCTGTTTCTATTTTATCACACGTATTGCATGACATAAGGCTAATTCTGGATTTTTAAACTTTAATGCGCAGGGTCGTCGTTAGAATGTCCCATTTATTTAATTTAATGCGGTAAATCTTATAAACAATTAACCGAAGCTCATGTTGCCCAAACCAATACTGTCTTTCTATAATTAATTAAACCTTGTTGAGGTGATAATGAATCTCATAATAAACCATATACCTAAGTAATGTCCCGCTATTGGCCTATTCAGAGAAACGCTTTAAGATTCACAATATCTTATCATTTTGTTACATTTTTATCCTGCTCTGTCTGTCTCTGTGTACCTATATCGATGTTTGATGCTTTTACTTCTTTAATGCTCCGCGTTATTGTATAACCTATTGACGTTCTCTTTTCGTCACAGCGAGAGGCGTTACACTAACGCTTCCATCAACAGTGAGCGCCGTCGGTACTGGGGCGGCTCCGAACCTCGGTCTTCAGTCACGTCGCAAGTGTCACAGGTTGCACAGGTAAACACACGCTGCTTAACACGAATCAAATGATTATTGATATTTTCAGATGGTGCATACCGAACGTTAAGCACGTTCGGAAGTTTTTAAATTTAGGAACAGATTAAGGATAGTGACGCTATTATAATAATGGATTTAATTACAAAGTTCCTATGGCCACCTTCCAGTTCCATCATCAAAACCCTGGATGTAATTTCGGACCAAATTTCACAACATCAAGATAAATCAAACGAATTTAAATTCGATGCTAGGAGATTATGACTTCGAGAAGCCGGAAGCTTCATCATCAGTCCATATATATATTGCATTGTTGTTCAAGCTTGTTCAATATGTGAATGCAAATTTTAAGCTCATTCTAAAATCGGGAATTGGTTCAAATTTACCTTTCAAGATTTGAAATCCACTTGCTAATACAGCAACTTAAATAAAGGCTTGAGAGAATCATTAAAAGCATTATAAATGTCGAAGAACCAAAAGATACGTGTAATGATCGTAGATTGCAGCGCTCGGGTTTTTCTATCTACCCCTCAAAGGTTCTGATGTGAATATAGATATAATTTTTTGTTGTTCATATGACATAAAGCAGGTGCTTATTTTCAGAATTATCGACGCGAAACGAGCCAACCTAAAGCTGGCGTCGTAATTACATCCTTCAGACAATCTCATAGGAGGTAAGAGTGAAGTTTTATAGATAATATATTACGCCTTTCATCATTTCTTAAATCTCTTCGACAAATGGATTTCTCAACTTTATGGCACAAGAGTGGGAGCTCACAATTCTCAGTGTTGTGGCATGCGTCTCACATTTTACTATGATGTTAAATATGTTTCGTATGTATTATATTGGAATTTATTAAAGTTACGGAAGCTTTTGCACGTCAACTGGTTGGTTACTATGACATTAGGATGACTTTAGGTTTTTCTCAGTCTTATAGTACCTATAGCAAATTTTGATGTTTTATCTAGAGCATTTTAAATTATTAGTCTATTAAGTATTATTATTAGTCGTTTTAATAATTCATATTCGTTTAACAGCTTTGGAAAAGACCTGTTGTGGTGAGTGATTGGTGAAGGTAAACGAAATGTAGAGATCAGAACACGTAGAGAAACCTTTAGAAGAGTATATATTTTGAAATATTTGGCTTTGTATAGAAAAATCTGTATATGTCATTTTTAAGAATTTATCAAATAACACCAATATGGACTTGAATGCCCAATCACAGAAACACCACAATGAAAGACACACGAGAGACCTTATTATCCCGCACGCATACACAATGCTCACAACTTTGTCCATAGTTATTACTTGCGACCACGATACCATTAAATCTAACTATGATAACTGTAATCAATACCATCATAAAAGTATTCTAGTTAAAATTTAACAATTAAATTTTAACCAGAATAACTTACATTACAAAATAAAGGCCACTTAGACTCAAAACAAATAACAAAAACCAAAATTATGAAATTTTCATGTAATAGGTAAAAACAGATACTAATTTTATTCCATTTGAATTAATTGCTTATAGTATATTAGAGTTTATTGTATTTGTTAATGTGCTATTGTTCTAAAATGATTTTTATGATAAAAATGTTCGTATATTTTAAATGTTTTAGGACTAATGCACTAGTAAAAATAGATCACACCTAGACTTGTATGTGTTTAAAACAGAAAAATTAAATATTTTTTTTGCCATCTTGGTGATTTTACTAGATTTTACTTAAATATTTATTGCTACCATTATTATATTTCCATGCATGTTTTTTTTTTTAATTCTAAATCAGTGTTTATTAATCTGGTAATTTTCTATTTATCTGCATCAATTCTCAATCTTTTTAACTTTCATCGATTTGCTGCATGCTCCAGTAACATTTTACTCTTCTTAGTCAATCTGTATTTTATTTTATTTAACTATCAAAATAATTTACTATACTCTAAAAAATATCGGATTCTTACTTTGTTCATTTAGTATAAAATTCCTTATCAAATTGGTTTGAAGAATCAGAGAGCTGAAAATTATAATTCTATAAACACAAATTCGGGATACTTGTCGTTCATCAATAACTGAACGTATCTGTCCAGGAGCAGTACATCGACTGCAGCGGTGGCATTCGCTGTTGCCACATCTGGATCTTCTAATCCTCGCTCACCACCGCCCACGTCACCACCGGCTACTAGGAGAGATTCGGTCATATCTACCGCAGCTACTATGAGAGTGCTCAATGTCCTAAGGTGAAATGCTTCAAAAGTGTCTTGTAAATTATAATTCTGAGATCTACAGAAAACAGTGGCTTCCAAATTAAATATATTAATTAAAGCTAAACAAAACAATTTTAACAATACAGTACCTATTAAACTAATAAAAATAACTATTTTAAAGTTCACAAATAAACGCAGCAAATTTTATATTTTTGTAGACACTGGATCTCTAAGCACTCCCATGACTTCTGGTCTAATGAGCGTTTGCGCGGTTTAACAATGGACTTCCTGAAAGAAATAGAGGGTAGTCCGGGCTTACTGCCAGCTGAGCACAAAGCGGCAGCACAGTTGCTACGTTTACTGGAACGAGCCCCCGATCGAGCTGTGGACCTGAAAGCACTTTTCACTCCTCCTCATGTAAGTGAATTAGTTAAAAAAGTAATATAATAATAAAACAGTGCTTGTACTAAGGATAATGAATGTTGCAGGTGCCAACCAAGGAAAGCATAGAAACATTATCAGCACTTGAAATAGCAGAACAGATGACTTATTTGGATTATCAAATATTTAGCTCCATCAACAGCGAGTAAGTTATTATTAAATAGCTGGACACTTGATTTTATTTTCAGATACGAGTAAGAATCTGAATGAATATCTTTGCAGTATAAATAATGATAAGTAGTTGTCACCGCAATATGATGTAATAAAGTATTTTGTTTTATTAAAAAAGCAGATATTTATCTTTAAAGTAATAATGAATGTTAATTCATTTGTAGAGAATTTTTGGGTCAAGCGTGGACAAAGGCTGACAAAGCGGAACGTGCACCACATATTCTGATGATGACTTCACATTTTAATCACATTTCCAATCTCGTAATTTCTGAGATATTGAAGAAGTATACCCTGGCAGGTTCGTTTAAAATTCTAGGAATCAGCTCATAAACTTAGTGTGTGCTTTTGAAATGTTATATTTTTGTATTGTTTTAGGTCGAGTAGCAGCAATAGAGAAGTGGGCAGCTGTGGCAGATATCGCTCGTTGTCTTCATAATTTTAATGGTGTTCTTCAAGTGTGCGCAGCATTGTCCAATACTTCTGTATATCGGCTTAAAAAGACCTGGGAGAAAGTCTCAAAGACTGTGAGTAGTAATTACATCAGGTAGTATAATTGAATAATCTAGGTAAACCTACTATAAATTTAAAACTAGCAACCATCGACTAAAGTGCGAGGTAAACTAAAACTATAAAATTGAACGTTTTGCAATGCAATTTAATTAATTTTATTATAAACAATTTCAGAGTAAACAGACAATTGAAAGAATGCAGATGATAATTTCATCAGAATGCCGTTTTAGATTTCTTCGCGACACTTTGCACAGGTAAAGTTGATCTTTTAAAAGCTTTAATATGGTTGTTGTCGTTTTTAATGTAAATGATTATTTAAGTTGTATTTTATAATTATTTCAGGTGTGATCCACCGTGTATACCATATCTCGGCATGTATTTATCTGATTTATCTTTCATCGACGAAGGCACGTCCAATTACACTCCTGACGGCTTACTTAACTTTTCTAAAATGCGAATGGTGAGAACATAAAAAGTCGTACTCATATCGTTTTTTATTGTTATAACTATTGTTATATTTATTTTTTACAGATCGCTCATGTTATTCGAGAGATAAGGAATTTTCAACAGACGCCTTATAAGATTGATCATATACCCAAGGTAATTCTTTTTTTAAGTTTAAGTAGTCGTTTATGATTACAGTAGGTAATTATAATTTGTACACACACATAAATACATTTTTAATTTGATCAGATCGTATGTTTTCTGGTTTACCGTTAGACGTAGTTTGGATTTTTGAAACTCCATATTTCTCGAGGGTCCGAATGCAAATAGACGAGTGTAGTTTCAAATTACTGATTTTCGATTACGGGTCCGAATCACATTTAAAATTGACGTCGCATCTGAAATTAGATAATGAAAATGCGTAACACCATAATAGGTTATCAATCATAGACCGTATAGTTTGTTCAATATTACGTAAGCAGTGGAGTCAATTTAGATACCCGAACCTCGAACGCGAGTCGATCGTCGTAATCTATTTCGTCGAAAGGTCGTCGATTACTCTTTGATCGACGTCGGAGTCGGGTGTGAAGTGACCGGGATGGTAAAAACGAATCGTTGCGGCAGGTGTGCGATTTCCTGCTGGACGAGTCTCTGGTGATCCCGGAGGAGCGCCAGTACCAGCTGTCGCTGGAGCTGGAGCCGCGGGCGGCGCGCGGGTCGGCGGCGGGGCTGCAGCACGCGGCCGCGCCCGCCTCGCCCGCCTCCTAGCGCCGCCGCCGCGCCTCCCTCGCCGCGCTCGCGCCGCTCCGGCCCGAACGCTAGAGGGAGTGCGCGTTACTCCATACCGCACCCCGGCACCGTTCGTTGTGTCGTGGGGGGAATGAATTTTCGGTTTGGGTGTGTGGGAGTCTCCATCCAGACGGACCTGACGAACTTAAGTCAAAACTCGAGTGTTATACTCACTAAACGCCCACCGATGCACCCTCTCTATTGAGGGCGGGGTCTGGAATCCAGCAGGGACTGCTCGACGTCCAGCTCCCGACCCTGTTGCCGCATGCCGCCGTCGATTCGCATAATTTGTGTTTGAATCGGTCGAGACGAATGTAAGAGTGAAGCCGCCCGATCAGACTTACAGTTCTGCTAACGTTAATAATGGCATTTCAATAACATCTGTTACGATTGACATTAGAAATGACGAGATATATCGCCACATGAAGTATATGTTTATAATATAGTAGAACGATGCAACCGATCGCTGTCTCTGTGACGCCATTGTTACTTTAAAATTTTCTGAATCGAGACCCAGCTCTACCAGTGTTAAGACATTGGTCTCCTCGATCCCGTGCCGTCGAGAATGCCTCTGAGAAAACTTTCATTTTGGATCTAATTAAGGTTGTAAGTAAATGGAAAGGGGGCAAAAGGGCTTATCTATCTATAATAAATCGAAGCGTATTATTTATTTCTAAGTAGGTATAGTTATGTCAGGGTGCGACCGCCTAACTAGTCGTGGATAAATATGGGATAAGTGACTAAGTTGGTAACACTGCCATCAAATCCATTTACCATCATTCTCTATTGTTCGTTCGTCGTTGCTAAAGTATATATGAAATTACTAAATGAAATATCATAACACCGATAAGATATCGCATCCTTTTTTTTGAATCAAGGTAGAGTTAGCGATCGCACCCAAACTTAGTTATTTGCGTGGAGTGTGATATATTTACTATTACATTTATCAAAAATCCCAAAATCTTACTTCATAGCTTCAAATTATTTTGAGAATAAGACCCTAGTTAATATTTACGACTGTTGACAGTTTAGGTTTAAATCAAATTAGATTCGTGTACTTGTACAAAAGAGGATCTATTAGACATTATTAATTAGGTTTTTAGGTATTAGTATTCAACGGCAACCTCGTGTGGAATTTTTAAAACTAGTTAAGATGTGTACGAAAAATAGACTTTAATAAATCAGTTTCATATCTATAATGATGAACATCTAGGTAATTAATTATTCGTGGTATTATTTTATTAAATATTTTAGTACTTTTCCACTTAAGCTTTTTCGAAGATAGCTTTGTTTTTAGCACGTTAGATTTCTTGGAAGTTTTTGCTATAGTCGTAAGTGCAGTCGGCATTATTTTTAATATTTATCTGTAGTATTCTTTACACAAAAAGAGAATCCTAGTTACATCATTATAGATTCATAATAATTTTCTTAACGAAACCTTCTCCAAAATTTAATGTATACAAATTAGTAATGAAAAATAAACTATATTAATTGAAGTATTACTCGTGAGATTTATGCCTCGTTAGCTCTATTCTTGTAATATAACAACTTCAATGTCAATTAAGTGATATTGTAATAGGTATAATAATAACATATCAGTTAAAACATTGTAATTTTCACTTCGAAAAATTAAGATAAACAATTTTCTTTTGTAAAAAATTTCAATATTACTTATACTAAATTTTTAATTAAACTGAATCACAATTTTGTTTACTCTGTAACTTTAGAGGTTTAATAGTTATATAATAATGATTTAAATAATTTACGTATTTTATTAGTTGTTAATGTTGTTGTAACAAACATTGAGGTTGTAAGATTGTCTAAAAAGTATGTGGTGTTAGTTGTAAAAAATACTTTAAAGAGATAAAATCTATCATGATATGTTATTGATTAGTATAAATTATTTTATTTTAACCAATAGTTTGAAGTATAAATATTAAATTCATTCTGAATTATTTCAGTTACATTTCTATTATCTCATTAGATTTAAGTAAAATATCACTATGACTTATGACCCCGCAGATGAAACATTAACTCTTTCTCCGCCTTATAATGGAGTTATTGAGATATTACTATAAAATATTGGGCTTGTGGTTGTTACCTGTTACTTATGGTTGTTGACGTCGTTTCGACTGCTTTTATACATTGTCTTTACATTTTTCCTGTTGAACTATCGTGCTTGTTAATATAAGAGTCTAAGGGTTCCTCAAGGGTGTCACTTAGGGCCCATTTTATTCAACGTTTTATAAAAAAACTATAAATATCGGAAAGCATATCGAGACAAATTAAGGAACAGTAGTTATCGTTCTTATATCATAGTCTTCTTGAAATAAATGGCCAGTATTAAAATTAATGGTACCGTTCATTTCTAAATTAGACGAGTTGGAAATAAGTGTGGACAATGAAGATGTAGCTGACTTCTGGACCCCTAGTTTAAGATTCACATCCGTCATTTGAGTACCGTTTGAGGTGCTGTTTAAATTTCCTTACCTTGACAGGTAGTATGTGAATCAACTTACACTCGGTGTACTGGAAGTCGAATATCTAGTCCACGTATGTCTGATGTAACTTAAAGTGATTTCAAGTGAGAGTAGTTTCGTCTGTAAGTCTTTTCTACGTCCTTTTCTATGTCGTTTAATGTTAGTGTTACAATGTGCCCTTCAGCTAACATATTGAACGCTGCAAATGTTGATCTATTAAGCGTTTGTTATACTTGACGATTAATATAATATGACTGTTCGTCTACGATGATACAACTTAATGAAATGTTATAAAAAATTACATTTGAGATTTGATGACTTCTTGTCACAGTGTCATATTTGGTGTTGCACTTTTTGAATCTAAGGATAGATTCTCATCGACTATTGATGAACAATCAGTCCCGACAGACTTTGCTATCGTTATGTAACATATTTCAGTAGCTAACCCATAGCGATCGTATTTTAACGATTATCGGAAGTCTCTCCGATTAAATGTATGTTCTGTTGTTAGTCGCGAACCCAGGTTATTGTTAACAATCAAAACGATATTCGTTAGTTCCATAGCGATCAAATTTGATAGATTGGTAAGTTGGTTTTGCGATCGCTATTGATGTCGAGACTTCAGGGAAAGAATTTGGAATCTTATTGAATTTTAATAAAAATTCTTTAGCAATGTTTCATGTGATTTCAAGGTTGCTAGCGGCGATAAGCTGTTTATAAAAAAACCTTTAAAACAATCTAATCTTGTCATTAGTAGGTGATGCGATTTTAGATACTTAGTGCTATGCTATAAAGTGGCTGTCATATTCGATGTGAATTGAATCCGAAATCTATTTCACTTGAGTCCTTTGAAAGGACCTTGTCTGTCTCATAAACGAGGACTATCTTTATTACTAAGTTTAAACCATTATCCGACCAAAATAAGTGACGACTTTTCAAATTGACGTTTCCTCTTGTTATTATTAATTTACGTTAGGCGACTAATGGCTTAAACTAGGTACTGACTTTAGTCGTCATTTTATAATAAAACGGCGGCAGTCTAGCCAATCAAAGAAAATTAAATTACGTTTAATTTGTAGTGTAATACTCTTTTGTAAATAAAATTCCTTTTAGCCTTCTCCTTATACATCATGTTTCCTTTCAATGTAAAATATTATCGATATTATTATCCGAATATTTAGAAGAGGATATTTTTTATTAAATTATTTTCTTATTAAAATTAAAAATCATCATGAAACACTTATGAATATTAAATAATTACGCTTCGTAACATCTCTTATGAATACTTGTAAAATATAAGGTATTTTTTTAATACGTAATGCTAGAGATAAATAGACTTTGTCAGCTACCTCTTCACATTTAAAATATGTAATAAAAATATAATTGATTTTGAAAGTAATATACAGGGTTATTTAAAAAACAACATCATTTTTCTGGACTAAATAGTTGACCATTATTGATATTTAATATAACACAATACTTTGAATTAAAAAAAAAGTTTTATTAACTAATGACAATACGACGCCGAAGTAACGAAAGTAAATAATATTATGTCTCTACTTAACCAATTTATTTTTACAATTTAAAATATAATAGGAGTTATACATGATTACGTCTCTAACATGCTGATAATCCTTACAAAATCAATTTTAATACAATTATAATATTTTGAATTAATCCCAAAATGTCACGAAGAGTTGTCATTCGAGCGGCAAATTAAATTTACATAAATGCATTAACGATATATAAAGAATGTGCTTTAAACTAAAATTTAATATTATGGTTGTTTAATTTTACATTAATTAATATCAATATAGGATATATTGATATTTATATAGGATATATTGATATTAAGCTATCTATTTTATTTATATTGATATGAACCATCCGGGGCACTGAAAGACAAGTCAAAGTAGTAAAAGTAATCGAAATATCACCTTAACATCATGGTTAGAGAATTAGGCGATCGCATCCCTGGAACAGGGAAGTGTTTTCGGAATATCTCTAAAAATTAAATTTTATTATTGTAAGAAAGTTAAATCTAATGAATCATCAAAATTGATACTTCATTAAAACTTGTAGAACGAACTTTGATGTTTATGAAATTGGATATTTAGTCTGGCAAGGATGCTGGTGTTTTAAAGATAACCGTGTATATTAAATATAGACACTTATAGACACGTGTTTAACTATATCGCTCAATATATGAACTTATTTGTCTCGTTTTGTCGTTAAAATACCGTTTAAGATATTGTTGTATTTGTATAGATAAAAGATAATTATGAATGAAAAATGATTGCATCTTAGGTGCTCACAGATTACTTATTAGAAAAGAGTTTAATGTATTTTATGTACTATTGTAAATCTGTGCTTTCTTTTTCACTTAAAAAGAACCACTTTATATATACAGGATATTTGGTGCACGGACCGGTAATTATTTCTATAATTATTTAAAGGGTCATTAGCTACGTTTTAGTCATACTCTTCATATTCCAAATG